CACAATGTGAAGAAAACCATGGAGAAGAGTGAGGCTTGACCTGGAATCGTTGAGAGGGAATAAAGGATTCCTAGCCAGCCTGAATCCACAAAGTTATATAAGAAGCACATTTGTCAACAGGGAGACGAAAGATTTCTACCCAGGGGCCATCACGAAGAAAATCACGGAAAGAGTCCCAGTCAGCTTTAAGGTAGTTGTAAGATGTACGATGATAGGGGGATTCTGATGGTAAAGAAGAATGATGAATAGTTTTAGAGAGACCAAACCATGATCAGACGCACCTAAGGGTGAGTGTGAAGAAACTGAGCACTGACTAGGATCAGAAACAAGACATAAGTCGAGTAGAGAAGGTAAATGATTCGGGTTGTCTGGAAAGCGAGTTGGAAAGTTGACTATTTGAGTTAGGTATTGAGAAAGACAAAAGTTGTGGGCCTTAATGCCTGCAGAGTCACTGACACTAGAGCCAAGCCATTCAGTGTGATGAACATTAAAGTCACCGACAACAACAATATTGGCTGATGGATAAAGAATGAGGGCTTGGTCAATATAATCAGAAATAACATCAAGAAGAGTGCAGTCTTGAGATGAGGGAGAGCGATATAGAACAAAGGCTATTTCAGTATGAAGTCAGATTGCATACAATAGTTTGCAATACTATTTGTATATATATATATAGATATATATAAGATAATACATTCAAACTTTTCTTTTCAAAATTAATAACTATGTGAGTGTTTTAAGTATGTGGAAAAAGGTTAAGAAGAAAATTAAGCTTTTTACCCCGCCTAACATTAGAAGTTTAGAATGAATAGTTTTGAAGAAAAGTTTTTTCAAAGCCTAGATTTTTAAATTTATTATTTGCCATTTATTTAAAATTATTAAAGTAAAGAGACCATATTAAAAATAAGTATAGAAATGGTTGATGTGGAACAGACTTGCCATAAATTGTATTTGATGGGACAGCTAGTGTTAATTATTTACAAATAAAATAAAAATTACAAATAAAATAAAAATAAAAGTTGTTTAGTTTACAATGCTGTTCTCATCTCTCACAATATTCTCACTAAATTGCTGTCATTTTTCTTGTACTTCTTTTATTTATTTATAATTTTATTCATTTTTTTTTTTTTTTGGTTTCAGTTTTTTTAAACAGTTTCTACTAAAAGTAGAGCAAACTTGTGGAAATTTTTTTTCAATATATTTGTGTCAACTAAAAAACAGTATCATCTCATTGAGGATAGTTAGATTAAGCAGAAAGGCCTTTTAAATAGGGGACTCCAGCATAAATGGAGGACTCCAGTAAATTAACTCCAGTATAACCTTTTTCTTGGTTGATTTCAGCTACAATGCCAAATGACCAAGTATCATCATAGACTAATGCTACATAACCTCCTAAAGTGACAAAATTAATTTAAAATACATTAAATTGCTTTGTGAATTATTGTGTAGTTATTTTCTGTTCTACCTCTATTTGTACCAATCCCAAGATCTATAAACTAGTAAAAGCTATGAAGACCAGGTAGAGTTGTTACACCATTGTACCCATCTCCAGGTAGAGTTGTTACACCATTGTACATATCTCCATGTTGCAACAGCAAGTTTAATCTCTTTTGTAAATGAAATCAACACTTTGAACAATGAATTTTCTCAATACAAAACTCATACATGACTTCTGATGTAGTTATTTGCTTTCAGTATAGATGTTGGCAACCTTTTTACAGTATTTCCAATTGAATTGCCTGGTGATTTTCGTTGACATGGAAAAACTGTGTTCAATGCATTTGAAAGCCATCTTGTTTTAATGTTTTTCTTACTTTTTAAACAATTTTGTCTTGTTACAAAAATTGTTCGCTACATATATTATCAAAAATACAACTTGTGACTCTTGTCACCAATTAATAATCATTATCCAAAATGTTATTATGATAAAAAAATGTGTGACTTTTGACATTAACTAGCAAAGCTAATAAATGACCTAAATCGAAATCACAACATCTCCACCAGCTTAACAAGAGCTCATACAAAACTGTGTTACTTTTGGTTTAGTACTCTCTTCCCATAGCAAGTGAATTGAAGCTGTGACTCTCACTAATTGTTAGATAGTTGTGATCAACGCTACCCATACTGTTGTCAGCGTTGCTATCGTACAGAGGATATATTTTAAAATTTTCAAGTTTCAGGTGGTTTGAATAGCGTCAAATTGTAATCGCCATCAACTCTTAGATCTTCTTTTTTATCTACATGATGATGCTGCAAATGAGAGAAATGTTTTGGTAACATATGTCCATTGAGTTTAACTTTATGCAGTGTTACTATACATCCTCTCAACCACCACTGTGTGCACAACGGTTTACTCTAGGGTTTCATCTACACTTTACCACAAACTTTTCATTTTTTAAACTCAGTCAAAAATGTTGTGTTGATTCAACTTTATCAATTCCAGGAATTCAAACGAGTTTGTAATGTTGGCACAAGATTTCTAAAAGTGTTATGTGTTTTGATGAAAGATTGATACCGCGTTTTGATGGAACATCAAGAATTCAGATATGGGTATACCACATTTTGCTCTTGCATTTGCTCTTTTTACCACCCAACAAACACTTTAAACAATTCCATTTCCAGATGATCTTTCAACAGCTTGATAGATAAGTTTTACTTCCCCTTTCGATACCATGGTTTGCATAATTTGAGATCTAAATGATTTGGAATTATCTAGGAGAACTTCAGAAGGAGGTTCTTCAGAAGGAGGTTCAAGTGATGACCATAATGCTTTTAATGATTGAACAACCATTGCTGCACTTTTGTTGCTGGTGTCCATAACCTGTATCTGCTTGGGCAACAATCAATACAGATGACATATAGTAATAAATCGACATGAGCAACATTGCAGATCAACATAATTGACATCACTCAACGTGGCAGAAATTTTTCCTCCTACTTTACTAACAGCAAGATTTCCTTACACTCTACTTTATCCTAATTACATTAGGATCAATCTAATTACATTCATCGCATTTAGTGACAACTAGTTTCACTGCATCTCTGTTAATGTGTACACCAGCACATGTACATAACTCCATACTCTTGGAAACTCCCATGTGTGCTATTGAATGAATTTTTCAAACCTGCTGATTATCATACATATAAATAGTATTACATTCTTGCGTTGCGACTTTGTTTTTTATATATTTTGTTGGCACTCTTGTGAGTTCATCAGTAATACTTTTAGTTGTTGGTACCCATGTAACATTTATATTTATGGCATAATCATCAACCTATATTCTAAATATTTGAAGATTTTGCCAAATTAACATTGCGCATTGCCCATCACATTTTACACGTTTATCACAAGTCAATTCAGATCTTAACCAACTATGAGAATCAGTTTTAAAAGAGACATCACTTGGGTTCAATTTCAATGCCATATTTAGACCTTTAATACATGCATCCAATTCAGCTACATTGATATGCATTGCATCATACTTTGGTTAGAGCCATGTCGCATCTTCTATTTTTGGCCACCTTGCATTATCACAACTCCTTTTGCCAGCAAACTTGCATCACACTATACAGTTACATAGAGCTTTCTACTTAAGATACATTTTCAAATATTTTGTAGAATGTCTTATAACAAATATTGTTAAGCTTATTAATTATTACAAAGACTTTTCACTTCATTGTTAAAAGTTCTAATAACACATTAAACCTTCGCTTGCCTCTAATGCTTTTAAACCAATAGGACGTTGCTAAATACGATAAAATTAATTGGTATGACATGTTGATTGTTTTTTTCTGTAAAGAATCTATAAACCAAATTAAATAATTACATAATAAAATACATAATCATACATAATTAATCAGAATTTTATTTATAAATAACTTTCTTGAAAAAGTGGTATATCTTTGAAAATTAATGTTTTATATGTTTCTGTTATTTATCTAATCAAATATTCTCAGGCGCATTTTTTAGAGATATTGGATGCCAATGTTTGGGTTTTATAAATTAGAAGTTTTCCTAATTTTTAAGAATGTTCCTTTTATATAACAACGTTCTAATACATCAAAAATTATTCTGAACTTTTTTCTCATTGTTATTTTCATATCTTTCTCACTATTATTTTCATATCTTTCTTATTCGTATTTTCATATTTGTCTCATTGTTATTTGAAGACCTTTCTTATTATTTTAATATTTTAGGTCAATTTTTTAAGAGACGTTTTTTTTTTTAAATCTATCAGCCCATGAAGTTTAAAAAAAATATGAGGATATATGGTTTAAAATTTCCAAAAACTTGAATGATTCGATGTGAAATTACTTGACAACAACAAAAAGTTCATTTTGTACTTTTGTTGTTGTTGTTATTGTTAAAAAACGTCACAAAGTTTCAGAGCTCATTTCAAAAATTAAAATGAGCAGAATATACCAGCTACATTTTGATAACTAAGTTACTAAAAAATTATACAAAAAACTTGATTTATTTTTTAAAAATGGAAACTTGATTTACAAATATACTAAACAGCTAGCTATATATTATTTATATATATACTATTTATATATATTTATCATATTATTTATATATATTATATTTATACATATTTATTAAATATTATTTAGTCAAGACAAGAAGACTAATTAATTGTGGTTATAACCCTCTCTCAACTCTATAACTCCGAAACACAAACCTTGACGAACAAGGCCGCTGCGCAGAGAAACAAGTTGAGCATGGTACTACCAGGGACGAGGTGGGGATCGAACTCAAAATCTTATAAACTTATAAAGCAAGCGCACTACCACTACACCACTAACACAATATATTTGTTTATATTGGTTTGATTTTTCACTACACTTGTTGGTTTCAAATTAAAATTCAAAAAGGCAGTGCGGAAACTTCAAAATGAATTTTTTTTAATGGCTATTTCTCACACAAAATTAAAAATGATTTATTTTTATTATCATGTATTTCTCAATTACAAAACAAGACAAAATTAAAATCATCAAACCTCTTTAAAAGCTCACTATTTTTTGCTTCCTCTTTAATATCTCTCATGATATCATCTGTAATTCTTTGATTTAAAAATACCAATGCTTCTTGTTTTATCAAACTATGACATACTGGAAGTTTATTACTCTAAAATGAAATTTTAAAATTAATTTCTTTAATTTGAGAAACAAAAAAGTTAAAAAACACCTTTCCATATAAACTGAATTCTTAACATTTGCTTGTTGTTTTCTTGCAAAAGAAATGATGTAATACTTTTTGCTTAACTCCATTAACCTCATTTAACCTTTATTAATTTTAACTACTAAGCTATATAATTTGCAGAACTGAAAATGAAAATTAAAAGTTATTGATTAAATCTAATAAGTAGAATCTTTTCACTTTCACCTTCTGTAAAAGATTTATGTCCAGTCTTCCACCTGTAAGTTTCCTGTATAGAATTGAGCCTATACAGGAATCTTCCACCTGTAATACAGTCCTAATACTTTTAAATTTCTGGGATTCCAAAATCTAGTTAAAAACTAATCTTGACATAATTCAAAAGTTTTTGATTTTTTTTAACTTACTTGGAGTAAAGAGTGAGTCTTAGTTTTGACATTATTTTTGATTTTTTGTAACTTTTGTTTCATCTTTAATTGTTTTTTATTATATAGGTAAGTTTTATGAAGCCAAAATTGAGTTTTAAACTTCTATTAAAATTTTTGCTTCACAAGAAATGCTTAAAATAGTATATAACTACAAAAACAACTGTAAGATAACCCACAACAATCCACAAAAACTGAATTTGTACTTTATTTTCATTTAAAAATAAAATATTAGTGCATAAGAGGGACAATGATTTGATTACTGTTTTAAAGTAGGTGCATTTTTATGTTTACTAAATGATGCTGCTTCTAGTTGTCAATTATCATGATATACTAACTTTGTATAACAGATAAATTGAAAATAAAATTGTCTTTAAAAAATTTTTTTTTTCAAATTTTAGAAATATAGTTTACCTCTGACATATAGATATATAATATTTAAATTCAACAAAAATATAAAAAATACATCCAATAAACATAGACATATTTTTAATACAGATATTAGAAGTTAAAAGAAGAAGAATTTAACTGACAATTTAAAATTAAATTAAAATTGACAAAAAAAAAATCTTTGTCATAATTTTAGATAATTTAAAATTTTACTTTTTTTAAATTTTATTTTACAACTCAAGAGTTTAAAAACCAAAAAAACTTTTAAAACTTATTTCCCTTTTTTTTTTTTTTATTATTATTTTTTTTTGAATCTTACTTGTCTAACTCTCATTCTCAGAAAATTGGTTGTCTATCCCCAAGTAAAAATAGTTATAACATTGTGAAAAGTAAACCCAGTCTCATTTTGATATATAACAGATATTTTGCGTTTTTAACAAATTCAACAGTTTTTACTTATAACTGTAAAATATTATAAATATACTAGACAACATATGCAACAAACATATAGTATGTAATGTACAATATACAATAAATATACCTGAACAGTTTCTACTAGTGCAAATGACTGAAGACCACCAGAGAATATTTCCTTAATTAACTTACCATCTTTATTTAAGTCTTTTATATAAGTCTGAAAGTCTGTCACATATTCTTTAAAATCTTCTTCAAAGTAACAATTTATATTTTCTTTTTTATTTATTTGTACAATGTTATGCTCAAAAGAGTCTTGTGACCAAGTTGTCAACATAGGAATTCTTGCTTTTTCGTAGGAGCCAATACCTAACTGACCTTTGACATTTAAACCAAATGAATATAGCTTATTTCCTTTCATGACATGAGCAAGTGTATGCTTGCGACCACAAGCAATCTGTGTAACTGGTGTTCCCATCAGATCAACAACCTAAACAATTAAAAGTGACTTAATAAATTTATTGATAGTAAACATATAGGACTGAATATTCCAGATACATTTACAGCAGTTACTTGACTATGCTATCTTTTTTTTTCACATTTACAATTTATTTGTAGTTGTTAAGTAAGACAATCCTTGATTAGTAAGGTAATTCTTGAGCAAACATTTCAGTTAATAAACAAGTTATTTTATTTTTATGAGCTTTCAAATATTTTTAATTCAAGCTGTTGGTAGTAAACAAATTTTGAACTTTGAGTGAACAAATTTGTATGTTTAAATAGTGCAATTTATTATTTATTTAATATTTATATAATATAGCTAATTTATTATTTAGTTCTTATTTTAGGCACATTACTTTGAGTTAAAGAGCTTGTGTTCAGATGGATAAAACTTTTCAAGTACAATCAATAAAATGAACATTCTTATTATTGTTAAATTTTGAATCACTTGCAGTTGCTTTCATGGTTATGAAAATTTTTACTATTTATTGTATTAAAATACTCACATTAAAATGTTTTTGAAGAGTTAAAAACAGGACCTTTAAAAACAAACTTTTTTTTTCCATTCTTAGATGTCATTAGGTGTCATTAAATGGAAAGTCACATAGTCACATGTAAATCATATAATCAACAAAAATTTTATAAATGATATGTAAATGCAGGCCTTGTGATGAATAAAAACTGCGCGACGCATAAGCATGACATGATTTTTGACGTCATTAAATTCTTTTTATTTGCTTTTCATACTTATCGACATTAACTGTACCAATTTACTTAATTACCTCAAAACTACTTTAAATCATTAATGTAGAAATGTTATTATTTAAAAATGTTTTGGAATGTTTCGTTTTTTAAAATGTAAAAACATTTGTTTATTTTCTCGACGTTTGACACGTTTTGTCTATACTAAACGAATAAAAAACATTATAACTAAACATTTAAAAAAGATTATAAATGCTAATATTTGATTTTTTTTTTCTCAAATATGTAATATAAAGTTTTTCAAATAATTATTTTTTCTTTTTAAAATATATAAATATTTTAAAAAGAAAAAATAATTATTTGAAAAAGCAATAGCAAAGTTGTCGATAAAATTGAACAAAAATACTTTCTTTTAGTTTTAGATTTTTAACTTAAATAATTATTTAAGTTAAAAATCTAAAACTAAAAGAAAGTATTTTTGTTCAATTTTATCAACAACTTTGCTATTGCTGAATATTTTTATTAAAATGTCAGCTTAAAAAGATTTAAACTTTTTTTTTAATCTGAATTTTTTCTACTTGTAAATAATGAGCATATTTAATTTTTTTGTAATTCAAACTTTTATATCAACTGCGTGCGGTTTTTAAAATACTTTACTAAATGTTGAAATTATCTTAAATTACTTCATTAAAATTGCGCTCAAAAATATCTTTAAATATACTCAAACAAAAAATTTTTTTCTCGACGTAAATAGTTTCAGCTACACGCAAAATCGCTCTTGGACGACGTAAAATTCACATCGCCCGACGCTTTATCGCAAGGCCTGAAATGACAAATTTGCAACAAATTAATATGTCAATACTAAACGTAACTTAACTTTATTTTTAATAAGTAAAAATTGTCTTTAATACTATGATGTTAAATACTGAAAACTTTAATATTTTAAAATTTACAATCATTTAAATACTTAGCCACTTTTTTTATACAAAACTTTATACCATTATATATTATATCCTATATATCTATTATATCTAAAATCACTGTTATATCTCATATATTTATTTTATTTTATATACCTGTTATATCATATATTCCAATTATACCTAAAATGGTAATAATATACTATATATCTATTATATCTTATACCCTTATTATACCTAAATTATCTATTATATCTTACAAATATTATATCTCATACATCTATAATTTCTGTTATTGTAACTCAAAACATTTTATTTAACATTTTTTTCATAGAACTAAATGCTAGTTGAAGAACATCTTTACTTAACAACATCTTGACTTAATAATAACTTAACAACATTTAAATCAACAACTTAATTAACAACAACTTAACTTAACAACAACTTAACTTAGCAATGTCTTACTTAACAACATCTTTACTTAGCAACATCTTTACTTAACAACATCTTGACTTAACAACATCTTGACTTAACAACATCTTGACTTAACAACATCTTGACTTAACAACATCTTGATTTAACAATGTCTTACTTAACAACATCTTTACTTAACAACATCTTTACTTATCCAGCCAGCACAAGTCGTCTATTAGACGTCTATTTCACTGCTCATTCATCTTTAGATGTTTAAGACAGTTCTGAGAATCTACAGAACGTCTTAATTTTAGATGTCTGAGACACGCTCTCTGGTAGATGTCTTAAAGATGTATCAATTCTTACATCTTAAAAAATCTTACTACGTCTTCAAGACGTCTAAAATTTTGACGCCTTGAAGTTATCTATTATTTGCATTCATTCAAATTTGAACAAGCGTAAAAGAAACAGCAGCCATGTTTTTTATATAGAAAATGTAAAATTTTTATTTAAGCAGTTATGATTTAAGATTAATGATGCTTATAAAGATAGCTTGATGATGCTTATAAAGATTTTCAGAACATCCTTAAATATTAAACATAAAATTTGTATTGTTTTTTACTTCCTCATTTTTGACTGTATAAAATGAGAATTTTTAAATAGCACATATGTTGATAAAAGTTTTACTAAAAAGTAAGTTTTATTTTATTCTTTTTGTTTTTATTTATTGCTATATATACTACATAAAATATTATAATTTTTTTTTTTTTTTTTGTGATTTATTATTTTTAATATTTCATTTGCTTTTTTTTTTAATAATCAATTTTTAAAATAGTAATCTAAATATTAATACTCTAATGAATAGTGGCATAGTTACGCCTATTGTTTTATAGTTACGGTACGGTTCTGAATTTTGTAAAATACACTTTTTAAGTAGTTTCTTGACTTTTCATAACCGCGTGCTCTCTTAAAGAAGTCGCAACCTTTCATGGTACGAGTTCAAAATGTCTAAGTAGATAATGTTTAATCTAAGTAGATAGGTAATATAAAATCTTTTTAAAATTTTATAAGTAATTAATTTATTTTAATCTCTTTTAAATTGTACTTTTAAATTTAAAGCTTCGTGTTATAGATGTTAATATTGAAAATATAGATATTACTATGGTGTCTACCGTTAAAAGATATTTATGGGTAGTTTCATGCTTTCACATACTTTTAATAATTGGAATAAAAGCCATGACAACATTTTTTTATAAATGAAATTTATCTATAGTATTGTTAATACTTTGGCTCTTTGAAAAAAAATATGTTTCTGGCTTTTCAATAAATATATAATAATTTGTCTTGCATTAATGAACTTTGGTTTAGGATATAATTGTGTTATTATATGTTTGTTTTTCTGTACTTAATATAACATTTATACTTTGCATACATTTTTATTTAAGTTTAATTGTTTATAATTTATTTAGATTATTAGAAAATTCATGTTTATAGAGTTGTTATTTAATCATAATCAAGTTGTTAAACCAAGGAAATTGTAGAGGTTTATTTATCAATTTATACTTTAAATTATATAATAATATTGGAGGGAGTAAGTTAAAAAGCATTTTTAAATTTTTAAAAAGAAATAATACTTTTTAATATATATCTGTATTTTTTTTGAGGTAGATTTAAAGTTTCAGGTTTTCAAAATTGTAGATCTTTTCAATGTCTAAATAGACATTAAGTATTTCAATGTCTAAGTAGACATTAAGTATATATAAAATCTTTTTAAAATTTAATAAGTAATTATTTGTTTAAATAAGTAATTAATTGTTTATAATTTATTAAGATTTAAATTATTAGAAAATTCATGTTTACTGAGTTGTTATTAATCATAATCGAGTTGTTGAACCAAAGAAATTGTAGAGGTTTATTTATCAAATATATACTATATATATTATATAAAAAATTTTGGTTTTCATATGTTTTCACTAATAAATAGTTCTATATATATATGTTCTCTATATATATATATATATATATATATATATATATATATATATATATATATATATATATATATATATATATATATATATATATATATATATATATATATATATATATATATATATATGTATATATATATATATATATATATATATATATATATATATATATACAAAACTATATATAAAACTATATATATCCTTGGAGTTGCGGCAGCATAATAGTGTGTTAGGAGAAAAAAATTATAAACCCGCGTTAATAACCTGTTTTTTATTGTACATAATGCATTAATAAGTTTTATCACGTGTTTTGTTCAATGTTTTCTCCCAACGCATGAACTATATATATTACGCTGTCGCAATTTTTTTTTTTTTTTATTAGAAATAAAATAAATTTTAACTTTTTTTAATAAGTTTTTGCTGATGTGGTTGCAGGTTTTTCTTAACTTCTATCAAATAAACTTAAGAAACCTGTATTACTTTTGATGATGGCAAATTAATTTTATTTTGCATTTGTTTGGTCTCTTTATATATATTTGTTTTGAGAATTTTTTTTTTTTAATTTTTCGAGTATGATTTTTTTAGTTATTAAGTTTTTTTATTTTATTGTTAACTTTAGATTAGTAAAAAAAAAGAAATAATTAGTGTTGCTTTGATAAATATGTTTAATGAAAATGATGACATTGAAATGGATGATAGGCTAGATGAAGTTATGTATTTACAAGATGATGTAAGTGCTATAAGGCGTGTTGAAAATAATCGTAGACGAAATGAAAGAAATAGACTTAGGCAAGATGAAATTAATCGTTTACAAAATGAAAGAAATAGGCTCGATCAAGATAATGTTAATCGTTGCCAAAATGAAAGAAGAGCTGTTGGACAAGGACGAATGTATTCTATAGCGAGAAGTAATGCTATTCCAGATTATAATTATTTAGGAGAAATGAATCAAATTTGTCAGC